CATATCAGTTAAAACCTTAACCAGAGTGGTAAAGCATAAATCAATTGCTTCTCCCCCTACTATCCTGAAAAGAAGGCCAAGAACTATCGTTAACTGAAGGAAGTGAATAAAAAAGTATCTGTAAAACTGGATTTTTTGTGTATGTGTTCATGCAAAGCGGTATATTAGAAGGGTTGCTGGCACATGACTCCTCACCCTTTTTTATCCCATCCTGATATTAAAATGTTTCTGATGTGTCCTTAGCTCTCCGGCAGTTGCTATGGGGAGAGACTCACATATGACGATCCTCAATTCAACAGGTGCTGTTTTAAGGCCACTCCATCATGAGTAACGTTAACAAACCGAGAAATCCAGCACATGCTTTTTTTCCAAAGCACAACCACTAACTAGCTGTGAACTGGGATGCTAACGTTCTCCAGAGGGACAATATAAAAATACAGATTCTCTATCTGAGGCAGTTATCAATATAAAGTTATGTGGAAATCTGGGGCTGTTTTTCAATACCACCCGGATAATTAATTACTCACAACCACATCTTGATTCAAAATGCCATAAGTGAGGTTTCAAAGACAGACATTTATACTGAAGTTTAAATAAAATTGACAATGACATAACACATATGGGAAAAATATTATAATTTCATTAACATATAACAGTAGCTGCAAATGAAAAAAAAAGTAAAACATTTAAAAACTGGGAAGTATGATAAATAAGTGTAACATGTCAGTATTAAATTTTGAAGTTCAACATGCTACCCCAATACTCACAAGGAACTCAAAAAACAAACACATGCCCTTGCTGATAAGACTATCATTTAGAGGCCATCCACAACAGCTGTCAAATGAAACTGCCTTACAGCCAGCCTGTATTTATGGAATAATTTGTATTTACAAAGTTATTGAAGTGTGTATGGCAGGTATGTCATAAGATCAGGAGCTTGGCTGTGAAAGTTCTGAAGGAGAAAAACGCAACTAGATTGGGATTTTAGAACCTTGTATTCTAATTACCTAAATTAGCAGTCCAATTTGAAGCTGTTCACACCACCAGTACCCAGCGTCTTTTGGGGACAGACTTAAAGACACTTCCCCCTTCTCACAGAACCACAAAATGGCTGAGGTTGGAAGACACGTCTGGAGGTCATATTGTCCAACACAGCTGCTCAAGCGGAGCCACCTACAGCAGGTTGCAGAGAACCACGTCCAGACAGCTTCTGAATATCTCCAGGGTTAAAGACTCCATGTCCTCCATGGGAAACTTGTTCCAGTGTTTGAGCACCCTCACAACAAATATGTATGTAACCATCATATACATAATGCTTAAATGGAATTTCCTCTATAGTTTGCACTCATTGCCTCTTTTCTTGTCACCAAACACCACTGGGAAGAGGCTGGCTCTATCTTCTTTACAACCTCCCTTCAGGTATTTGTATACCTTAGTAAGACACCCCCTGAGACTTCTCTTCTCCAGACTAACAGAGACTCTACAACTTCCCCAGATGACTATTCCAGAACTTCATTTTTGCTTGCCATATAGAATTTTTACCTAAAGTCTAGACTGACTTTTCCTGTAATTTAAGGCCATTACTCCTGGTCCTGTCTGCCCTAGAGCAAACAGACACTTTGCATCTGTCTTCTTGTATTTGAAGGCAGATGTCATGTTCTTTCCTTCTTCTCCATCTCCTAGTTTTCCTTTTCATTTTGCTAAAGGCCTTCTGAGGAAAACTGTAATCAAAGCAATTAAGTTTATTTGCTGTAGTAAGACTTCCCGTATCATGAAGATGGAATTCCATCTAGCAATTTCTCTCAAGAGCTTTACAGTCTAAAACATTGCACCTTGCTCCCCAGCTTTATGTCAAGGAATGTATCTATCTAAGGTGCACTATGGAACTTTTTTCAAGCATCCACGCACTTCCTTAGTAGTTAACATTTTTAACTTCTCAAGTTTTCACCTCTTTTGTCAACACTTACATCTCATCCCAAAGAACAACAGAAATGTCTATCAGACAGTAAGCTCCTCATATATTTAAGAAGAATCCTAAACAGATTACCTTCAGACGATACATATCCAGAATCCCTGGCACCACATATAAAACAATACATAAACAATTCAATTCTTTCTCCTTAGGCTGATCCCTGTCTATAAAACGAACCCCACTGAACCTGTGTTTTCCTAATCCAAAAGCATAGGTCAAGAGAGCTGCTTTCCATAGTTACCAGATGATCAGCTATTTCAGCCCTCAACATAACAGCAGTGGAAGCAGATTTTCTGGGCTAATCTCCCTGTAGTATTGCTCATTGAACTACTATGTTACACAAATGGACAAGCAAGAGACTTTTTAGAGCAAAGCAGATAATCACATTAATTCACTCTAATGGCCAACTATTCAACCATGGCAAGGAATAAAAGCAAAAGAGCTCAGGACCATTCACAGTTTAGCTCTCCCCACCCCCCCTTTTTTTTAAACACACTATAGAAATACTGGAATATGGTTTTACACTTGCAAAACCAAGGACAGTGATATTTTATTTATTCTTTCAAATCCTATCTTACAAGGCTGACAGTAATTCATACAGTAGCAAATGAAATTTTAGAGTGATGCACTGAATGCTACAAATGCTGAAATGGTGCTCTCTGCTGCTACCATTGTTTTGGTATCAATGTTACATTAGTACAGTAAACAACACCAAGGCATTCTTAGGGATGTGCTGGTTTTGGCTGGGATAAAGATAATTTTCTTCACAGTAGCTGTATGGGGCTATGTTTTGGATTTGTACTGGAAACGGGGTTGACAACATGGGGATGTTTTAATTACTGCTGAGCCAGGCTTACATAGAGCCTTTTCTGCACCTCACTCCTACCAGTGAGGAGGCTGGGGAGAGACAAGAAGCTGGGAGGGGAAACGGCTGCAACAGCTTACCCCAACTGACCAGAGGGCTATTCCATACCATATGATGTCATGCTCAGCATATAAAGCTGGGGGAAGAAGAAGGAATGGGGGAACATTCGGAGTGATGGCATTTGTCTTCCCAAGTCAGCATTATGCGTGATGGAGCCCTGCTTTCCTGGAGGTGGCTGAGCACCTCCCTGCCCATGGAAAGTGGTGAATGAATTCCTTGCTTTGCTTTGCTTGCATGTGCAGCTTTTGCTTTACCTATGAAACTGTCTTTACCTCAACCCATCAGTTTTCTCACTTTTACCCTTCTGATTCTCTTCCCATCTGACCAGGGGGAAGCAAGCGAGTGGCTGCGTGGTGCTTAGTTGCCAGCTGGAGTTAGACCATGACAAGGTATTAAAATGCTGTGTTTTGCCTGCACCAGAGACACCGTGCTTGTGCTGTTGCAACAGCTGTAGCTGACTTCCTGCTTCTTTCAGCATCTGCCGTATGACACTTTCCCAGTGAGCCTACCTACACTTCAGTGAGGCTTACGCACTGGTGGGGATGTGTTACTCCATAGCCTTTTTCTGATCCTATCTCTTCCAGGAATCACTGACTCAGCCTTACCCAAGCACAAAACTTGATCTGACAGTAAAAATCTGACCATTACAAGCATGCTAATGCTGTCCTAGTGACCAAACGATACTGGGGGATCCAGCCATCACTGAAGTGGATAGATATCTACACATCACAGCTACTCTTCACACACTTCTAACCACTTCATTGAGACTCTCTCCTGTTGTTACTCCTGTTGCCCTTATCAACGTTTAGCTTATACCTCACTTTTCATTACTATCTGTAAAAGCTAAGCATGAACACAAGCTCCAGTCTTTATCAGTATTCCACATTCTGATAACACTTGGTGTTTAAATGATGGAACTAAACCTTATCTCCCCCTTCCACATGGTACCACAGATGCCCTCCCATATCTCTGCTTGTTTTGCATGGTCTACAGGCAAATTGCTCATTAGTCTAGGATCTAATGAAGTCTTAGTTTCAAGCACCTCCTTGTTTCAGTTGCATAAAACCAGTAACAAATTTTGTTTTTTCCCCAAATTTCCACAGTATCACTTTAGCTAAGTTGGAGTTACAGCCAAGGCCACTATAAAAACATTTTCTAAGTATGCCAAGCAGTAACATATTACAGTGTATGCATCTTACTCTTTTCTAATTTAATGCTTTTCTGAACTCTGGAAACTCTGCTTTATTTAATCTCTTAACCAGATTTTCAGAAACAGATGCTTGTACATTTGAAATCACTTATTTGCTGTGTATCCCCAATTACCATGTAAATGTGGATACTTCAGTGATGAATTACATGAATGGGAATATGCAATAGTATGCATACTTTTGCAAGCTTATTTAGAGCTTTAAGAATCGGCAACTTAATTGATTCATAGAATGTTTTGGGTTGGAAGAGACCTTTAGAGGTCTAGCTAGCTAGCTCAGCTAGCTACTGAGCAAATACATTTCTTTTGTGACCCAAACCTTATTTCGTATGTTTTAATTAATTCTTTAAGCATTGTTATGTATCTCTATCAGAAGGGAAAAAATTAAAAAAGGAGTTTGGAAGAGAAACTTACATTTCTTACAGTGCTTTAACTCACATTCTTTAAGCCTGTCTAAATATATTTTTAATACTGTAGCCAGTAATTGAAAAAAAAAAGCTCTCAAAGAGACCTAAGATTTACTGAGTTTTACGGCATAGAATAATTCCCCAATGACATGAAAATTGTGTGTTTATCCCAGCAACAAATGTGAGACATAATCTAACTCTGTATTAATTTTCGTCTTTAAATTCTTTAAGCAATTGAATTAATACAATAGGTTTCCAATATATTCAGATATTGTTACACTAACAGGTCACAACACATCAACATTATTTTTCGTGAGTGGAAGAACATTTCTGAGAGAATCTTTATCTCACTTGAGAAACTGACTTTTTTCCTGGGGGGGGAAAAAAAAGGAAATATAATAAATGTGTACTACCTTGTCACTTTACAGCTTGCCTCAATCAGTTCATTTTCAATATCCAACAGATTAGAAGGCAGGTTGTATTCCAAAGGTGAGGCCATTCTTTTCAAACGCAGTAAGCCAACACAGAACTTTGCTCCCATCTCCTCCAGTTCTCTTGTCCCTATCTGCAATCCCTAATTCAAAAATAAGATTTAAAAATACAAAATAGGTACATGCAGATGGACCCACACATACTGCAGAATTACTATTTAAAATACATTTCACTATTTTATTTAATACACTCTTTTGCTTTAAAGACAGAACAAGTAAGAACAGTAGAGTAAACACTTAGCAAGAGTATCAGAGAAAACTCAGAATAACTACACGATTCCTCTAAGGCTGAACAGACATTTCTGGACACATCCACATTTCTCTCATGCTTCCTAGTCTACACTTCTAGCACATCAATATTAACAGGGCTTTACCCAGTTGCATTGGACCAGAGACAGAGATCATATCCAAGTTTATAAGTATAAATTATTTTAAAAACCTGGGGCAAAGTATTTATAAAAAGGAATTTCAAATAGTAAGATTTCAAATACAAGATTCTTCAACAGAAGCTCCATCAGAATGAAAAAAATGTGCATTTATATAGTAGCTGTGATCAAATTCATTGCTATGTTCTGACACATAAATAAGACTATTTAAGGCAACAAAATTACCCCTTGACACAAACATCTCTTCCCTTCCTGTAAATTAGAGGCTACATGTGTTAATTCTGAAAGCACATATGCACATATTCAGTAACAAAAAACAAGAAAGAAACTATGAAAAGCCATACCTGTTTTCTAACTCAAATGATGTACAAGGCATTTTCGTCTGCAAAGAGTATTTAGGAGGTAGAACTTACATAACATTCTCCAAGTTTACACATGTGATAAAGCCTCCCATCAGATAACTTTACACTTTTAACTTAGCCAGCTATGCAGCGTGCAGGGACAGAACCTCTGATCTCAACTACTTTATGAACAGAGAATGATATTCCAGAGTGACCTTCAACAATTAGGGAATTGGCTAGTACTGACTGTATATATACTACAAAATTCAATGTCACAACGCAACTCAATCTCCCCCTTTGCAACTTCTGCATCTCAGGAGAATTTAAAAGGAATTCAGTTTGGATCTTCTAAGACTCTTAAGGTAAAGGGTAGTTAAAAAGCAGCTTTGACAAAACAAGCAGGGAAGCAGAAGAACCAGGAATTGGTGGTAAGCTAAGTCATCAAGTAGGAAAATACATAAGCAAGAAGTATGGCGTAGGAATTTTTTTACTAAAAGCTAAAAACCACACACACAAGCTTTGTATATGTTGCCACACTGACGTATTTTAAAATGCAAGGTTTAAAAGGACGTGTGATGTTGCTCCAGAAATGCAACGGTACAGTCCGCACATTCTTCATGTACTTCTGTTTTAAACATATGCACACATAATAAATGAAAGTTTGATTTTATTTTTCTTGTGAGTTCTTTTTTTTCCTTGGTAGTCTTCATAAACAAGGTGGTTTTTAGTAACGAGAAAGCTAAAGCTATAGTCACTATTTTAAACAGTGCCATCCTCCAGCCAAATGGTACAGAAACCTGTTAGCAGTGAACAAAAGTTGGGTATTTGAGTATTATTGTTAATAGTAATACTACTTACCTCTTTCATAATGCTTTTGTGCTGTAGGTTTCAAAGCACTTTATTAATAAAGGAAGAATTATCCTCACTTTACTGATGGAGAAATGGAGGCAGAGAGGGTTGAAGCCATTTGCACAGTGTCTCACAGCATGTCACTGACCCCGCTGGGAACAGAAATCAGTTCTCCTCACTCCCAGTGCAGTACCTTATCCACAGAGGCCAATTTTTTGTTTTTGTTTTGTATTTGTTTGCACATCAGTAACATTCGAAGACCCCAATCATAGCTGGGGCTCCACTACGCTAATCACAGGAAGACACAGTCCCTGCCCCAAAGAGATTAAAATAACATTAAGGACAAGAGGCAACAAGTATGCAGAAGAGGAGGAGAAGGGTAACAGTAATCTCACTGTTACATAGATTACTAATGCGCACAACTTGATGGTTCAGAAACTGTTCCAATCATTGTCTATATCTGTTGCTGAAGAAGTTATCGTTAGTTGGCAGATTCCTTACAGACAGTATAATAGGAGTTGCTCTAAGTCAAAAAAGGCGAAGAGTACAGTATGAAAGAAAGTGCAGACAATTGTTAGAAAAATAAATTAGCATGTGCACGCTCTGTGGCTATTTTCAGCACAGCAGAAAGAGGATATAACTAAAAAGACACCTAAATGGATCAGATTGCAGGTGGATAACTGTGAAACACCTGGATGATGAAGTTTGAACTTGCTGTACTGAAGTGTCCACATACTTGCGGTAAAAGCCCGTGCCAAAGTCTAGATTTGCTTCTGTCATTTCTTTAAATCATAATGGAGAATGCAATACCACACAGCTGCCAAATACCAAATTTCTTAATCCATTGTTTTTCTTCCATTGGCCAAATCTCTTAAATTCCATGAAACAGGAGACCCAAAGTCTGTTTCAGGAAATAATAATAAACAATTGCCCTAACTACGGGAATGCAGGTGAAGTTCATTTTCACTGAAGCCTTGATTACGCTCCTCTTCTTGATCTTCTAGACACCTTCAGCTGTGGTTCTAGTACCTTTAACTGTGGCCTATTAAAGTTCCTTAAGTGTTACAAGCATTGCTTTTAAGCACAAGCCACCTGGAAGTAGCTTTTTTTTTTTAAAAAAAAAAAAAAAAAGAAACATGCCTCAAATTTTATTCCTTTTTCTTTACATTTTATACAACTGTCTTCCTTCTACACAGTAGCATTTTAGATGGTTGGTTGAAGTCTTCCTTACTAAGCACATCATGAAAATACCTTCACATGAATAGAGTGTCTTGGTCATGAACTCTTCTACCTGAAAGCAAAGATGAAAAACTAAGGCACAACAGACTGCAACCTCAAGTTGAGAAGAATATTCCTGTAAAATGTACTTAATAAATTGAAAACAGCCATACTAAGATTTGGAGAAGTCAGCTGCACTGTAAAACATCATCTTGTTCTTCTGCTTTTTTATTCAGCAGAGGCTACAAAGATGCAAACATTTTTGAGAACACAAAAATGACCATGGTAACTGACAAAGTTTGTTAACTGAATCCTTATTTCATAAAGTCTTCTCTTTATGTGCATCATAAAGATTAATTTTCAATTAACTTAAAAATTAACCAATGCTCCCAAACTTATTAATCTCCCATCAGGCAAGGGATTGCTTTCAGTTTTCAGGTGATTTGAATTATTGACAAAATTGTTCTTTTGTCTGGCATCTTCATTATCCTCCATAGTAGGTCCTGGAACATCTCTTCACCTGAGCGTTTGCTTTTCAGTATTATGAACCGCAGATGACTGAGCAGTAGTTGCAGCACTAATTCTCAATGCACAAAGACCCCACGGAAGCAGTTAAAACAAGGTTACTTCTAGAGATGACTCTGTCACCAGGGATCCCAAATTCAGGTAAGAATTGCTAACTTCAGTTCAACAGCCTCCTAGATGGAAGTAGTCTAGTATCACCATTGTCTGAGTAAAATAAAAAAGAATAGAAAGATGATGTTCTGATATTATCCAGCTTTGGGAAGGACTCAGCGTTTCTCCCACAAAGAACAGAACTGTTGAGTAATCCTTTTTGTGCTTTGAAGAAAATTCAGACGGTGCCAAACCTGAAGACAATTAGAAAAGTGCTTTAAACCTTTACACTATACATAGTCCCTCACATCTGAACTGTCATGTCCTTTGGGGTGGGAAGTAGGAGAGGACAGAATTTCTATAGTTCAATTCCTCTCTGTGTTTTGAAATAACATATTATTAAATATGTCACCTAACCTATACAACAAGTTTATTCACAGAGTTGCTGGCCTCACTCCCTCCACAACAACAAAAGACTAAGCCTTTTCATCTCTTTGACCTCATCAGAGAAATGTTGCTCTTTTCTTGTCCTGACTAGCCACCCTGGCCTTTTAGATACACTTTCTTAATAAGTCTGAGCGTTATCACAGTGAAGAAAAAATAAAGAATCTTCCTATATGTTCAGAGGATGACTAAGATCTCACAAACCATTTTATTCCAAATAAAATGAATGACTGAAGAGCAATTTGATCTCATCAACTAGTTTATATTGCATAGAATGCTCTTCCCTTTTGAATAAATGACTTTTCCACGTAATTCAGTCATTTTTTTCCTCCCTTATTGAAGAAGGGCTTTGCAGGTTAAGCATCTTGAAAGTTTGTCCACAAAACATCTTCAATTCACTTTTCTTAAGAATTTTCTGTAGCAACACTGCTAAAGCCATGAAGGTTCATGTTTGTAAGAATATTCTAGAGGTTTAAAAATAAGCAAGTGGGATGAGTTATCATTTTTAAAGCTCCATAATGATGTCATCTGAGGAATAATGGAATATTCTGACAATGGCAGGGAATAAAATTAAGACATTCATTTGGTAGTTACAGACCTACTGAAATTCCTGCCAAAATATCTGTCTTCCTTCTGTCTAGGGAGATAAGCATGGGTGTTGGATCATGTATTAACACATTAAATAGTCCTTGTTTCAACTGGTTTTTTTTGTTCCTGCTCCCGGCCCTTGATCCCAGCCTTCTGATCTTCTTTTTGTCAAGCACCTTATTTCAGGCTTGTAGTCGTTTTCTTGATTACCATCCCTAAACTCCATTTTCAAGCAGAGGAAAACGTGACTTTTTCCATGAAGTTTCATTTAAAAAACTTGCTTCAGTTTGTAGCTGTATTTAACCCAGTGACAGAAGTTGAAGATCAGATGTTAGGGTGGTGGTTCTCCGTTTTTTCCCCTATGAATATTGTCTATGAATTAAGTTTTCTACTAGTGAGAAACACAAATGGGGTCAACCTTTGTTTTTCAAATATCCAGCCCTGTTAACACTTTTGAAGGAGACAAATTGGAAACAAGTTTTAAGTTAAAAAGTCAAACAACTACGGTGAGCTCAGATGTGTAATTTGTAGCTCTGGTAACCTGATATAAAAGTGTGTTGATTTATAAGTCTGTTTCTGCAGCTACACAGGAAAATGCTGTTAGGGACACTACTAAATACTTGTTGAAAAACCATGAACTGCCATGGTCAAGTCTGAAATTGACATGTGTAAAAAAAATTTTTATTCTAGTATTGGCATGTATTACTCCCCAATTTTAATAACCTACTGGAAACAACAGTTATGATTTTTTTAACTACATGCATATGTATGTGTTACAAGCAATAATTAATATTAATCTTGTTTACAGATGAAGACTGTTATGTAACCTATAATATTGAAAATTTGTAATTTCACTTAACATTAGTGTACAGAGATCTTTGAAGAGTTTTAGAAGTTTAAAGCAAGCAAGCGGGTTTATAGAAGAAGATATCAATGGAAATTAAAGAAATTATAGAGCAAGAACAGTTTAACTGATATACTTTCTTACCTTGTATTTGCCCTGGTCACATCCACATAACGTGCTTTCCATTGTGTAGCTCCTTTGTACTCCTATCTCTCTCCAGACAACAACTCGCGCTGTTGATTCCTTCGACTTTTCCACTACAAAGCTGCAGCTGCCCATGCAGAATGCTGGGGCAGTTTGACTCAGGATCTTGGGGAGTGCCTGCAGAAGAGCAATTTGAAAAATACAGCAATTCTTTTATTTCACTTGTGAAAGCAGGGAGGAGGGGAATATTCAAACACAAACTGTTAGCAGAAAATTTTGATGCAATTTGAATTAGAAGAACAAGAATGAAAATATTTCTCCATCCTGAGTTTTCAAAACCCAGTGTGTTCAAGAGACAACATATTTGCTATTTCCTACTTAACTCAAATCCTCTTTCTCAGATTCACTCACTAAAATTAAGTGTTAGTCATGTGGGTAAAAATTAGGATACAAAAGAATTCTTTGGGTGATCACCACATCCTCCTAGTTCACTGAGGTAGCTGCTCAAATTAAGCATACTACATACCCATATAATTAATTTAATTCAGTTTCACACTGTTTCAACAATCCAATTTATAGACCTAACATAGGCAGTATTTTATTAATACATAAAATGAATTCGTATTCAGCAAAGCACTAGGTACATATTAAAGACTGCGAATCAAAGTTTAATATAATTCTTCATACAACAGCTTGGGAAAAAGATAAGAAACAGTTATGCAAATGCATATAGTAGACTAATTCTAAATGACTACTTTCTTTCCAGCTTTTATTTGTATCAGTTAAACCAAAACACATGATTACTTTGAATTTACTATTTCAGTAGTACATATACCATTATTAGCATAAGCTCGCTTAAACATTTCAGTCCACCTTTTTGAAACCAAAAGGCTTTTTCCCCACAACTCTTATTGACTACTGTCTTTTGTGTGCTATAGTAGTACAGGCTGAAATGACAAAACCCCATATAAATGTGTTGGGCAGCAGAAGGTGAATGGCATGAGACTCAGCATCCAGGAAATCACACAAGAAAATCAAGGAGCGATACAATTTTTTTTAAAAGTGAAGGAAATTCGAGAAAAAAAATCTGTAAGCATCTGTAGTCATTTACACTCATGGATGCATAACAAGCGTTTTAATGTGCATTCAAACGCTTTTCAAGCTTAACTCTGCATCTCATAAAAAAACCCATGGTGTTTGGACACATTACATTGCATAGATTTGCAGTTGCCACAAGGCGGCAGTGGAGTTACACAGAAGAAACAGGTAACCAGTAATTCTTTAAATGTTTTGGAATTGTTGAATGCCTATCCAGTGCAGCTGATGTTGTTTGTGCAAGTTTATTTTGTATATGTATTAGGGGAACATGCCTTAACTACACACGTTTATAAGAGGAACCTTGCCTATTTCCATACACAAAAATGAGCAACTCAGAGCAACTCAATATTTTATTTTCTTGTTACTAGAATATTTTTTGCCATCCTTAAATAACTTTTTTCGTTCGGTAATTACAAATGCACAGAAGCATATTTTCCATGTATACACTGTAACAGTAACGTTGAACACAAAAAATCCACATATTGGTACAAAGACCCAAAAAAATAAAGCACTCCACTAATGTTAAATCATTAGCTGTATTAGTGTACAATGTTTAACGCTCTCAAAATACTTTGAAGTACACTCATGAACTAAAAAGAGATCATTCTAAGTAAGTCTGCTTATGTTATGAAGTCACTACGTGCACAGAATAATATTGGGAAGTTACTTGAAAAGCATATTCCCAATTCATGCCAAGTGAAAAAAGTACAAATGCCAAACTTACCCTGTAGCCAGGGTCTTCCATCAGGTCACAAGAGGCAGCATTAACATTTGTGTGCCACATTGTCTCTTTGATGCTGCAGCCATACATAAACACATTCTTTTTACGAGAGTGACCATGATAATCACAGTAGACCTACAATAAATCATTTGGCAAAATAAAGCCAAGTATATGGAATTAACATTTCTTAAAAGTAACAGAAGGACAAATAAAAATAATTTATGCTGCTGAAAGTTCCAAAGAATCAGGAAACACAACCCCTTATATAATTAACTTGTGCATTAAGACAAAAAGCGTAGTATTCATCTAAGGAAGGTTTAACCTTCTACCCTAGCAAAGGAAACAGATTTAAATCTAAAGGTTTGCAAAAGACCAGGTCTCCAAGTCAAATTTAAGCATGACACAGTTTACAAGACCATATTAAAAGGTTTACATTACAGACAAGGTTAAAAAGATTCAGAATTGCTTAGATACACATACTCACCAAAGGTAAACGTTTTATAGCAGCCAGATATTGCAGTAACCCTTTAGCATGGTAAATAGTGGGATGCAGATCTGGATTTGGATTTTGCCACTGTCTGTTTAAATCTTCTCCACTTAAAGAGCAACGGTGGCTATTGTGGGGGGGTGGAAAAATGCATGATGTAGTCTGTATTATCACACTTCTAAATAAGCCTCCCCCCCACCTCGAGTTTTCCTCATCACCACTGCTTCCTTTGAAGGAGTCTGGTAAGAAACGAACTTCAGTTTTCTAACATACCAAATAATAGAAGTGTTTGGAGTTTTTTAAGTTATGTTACAGAAAACCTAAAAATAAATTAGAAGTAGCTTCTTATATGCAGTCAATTGTAATATTTCTTATTTGCTGTTGAAACTGAAGGCTTGTAATTCTACTCAAATGCTAGTTCAAAATCAGTAATTTTGAATATATGGTATCTTTACAGTTTTGGTGTCCTGAATTCTGTAATACAAAGACTAATGTCAACCAGAAATTCTAAGATTTGAAACAAGAAATTGTTAGACAAGGAGCTGTGAGAAAAAAAATAAAGAAGAAAAAAAAACCAAACAAAAACCCCAGCGAACAAATAAAGATCATCTCTGTATTCAGTCAACTATCAGCAAGAACTTTTAAACTTGCAGAAATTCATGTTCATGCAGTCATCTTCAGTACATTTGACTTTAGGTGGTGTCTGCTGGGACAGATTTCTTAATTGTCCCTATATTAAACTTTCACTTGTATTCTGAATGTTTTAAGTCCAGGTGTTCTCTTATATACATGCTATTACATATATAAAGACAGACTTCTACTCAAATCCATAATTGGTTTAATTTTTACTATTTTGTTCACAAAACCTTTTAAAATACTACCCATAACTAGGAACTGTCAATGCACCATATCAAAATTTCCACTTCAAATGAATTCCCTGTAACCAAGTAAATATAGACTGCTGAATGCTTACTCATAGCAGTATCAAAAGGTTCTGAAATATCCCTTAAAATTATTAAGAAAAGTGGTAGTAAGTGCAAGAATGACTGTTAGTAATTGTAATTAAATCAGGATATTCTTTTACCCTTTCTCTTGCACAACTATTAACTTTCCCCCTTTTTGACAACAGCCATTTCCGTAACATCCTTCTAAAAACTGTAATAAAAAAAAGGAGAAAAATCACGTAAAAAGCTCTCTCAGATACAAGGACTGTTCTTTTTCATGAGAACCATGAACTTGTTTAGCCTTTCCCAAAAGCAGCTGTGCTCTCATGTAACACTCTACACCTATCCAAGACTGCAGTTCAGAAACACAATTAAAAGGCCATGTCAAATCACATAGGAATTATTATCATTCATGAACAACTGAAACTACTTTACATAAAACTGAAATTCATGGAACAATGCATCTGCCTTTAAAAAGCTGAACAACAGAAAAGTCATAGCATTTTTAAGTGTTTTTTTTTTCATATTAAGTATTGTATTTGTATGTCTCCAGGATTAGTTTAGATTTTTTTTTAATAAAAGATGCAAAGACTTAGTAGTACAGGTTATATATTTGTGAGTAAACTTATGCTTACTTTCCACTGATGACACCATCTGGATTGAGCATGGGAATAATTTTGAAAATGTAAGATTCTCGTAAACTTTGGGCACTTGGATTATTGCTCATAAGGTATTCCAGGGTTCCCTTCATAACCCAGCTTGCATTAGTCTCTCCAGGATGTACACGAGCAGACAGGAAAATATAAGGACGATTCCCTAAAAGACATGCATAGAAGTTGCAAAATACGATTCAAGCTAAGTAAACAGTTTGTTAATTGAAAAAGAAGCAATAGCCAGCTTCATTTATTACAATGCAAAATACAGCATTTGGGAGTTGAGTATTATTGAGTATTAGTATTATTGATACAGCTTGCCTGAATGTTGTTACAAGGACTGCCAATTAGACAACTTTCACAATAGAGCTTTACATTCAATCAGACAATTATACAGTCACAACTAGTTTGAGCTGGCAATTATGACATGATGACTTTGATGGCTTTTTTTCTAATAGCCAAGAAAAATACTGGGGTGGAGGAACAAACCAGGAATGCTGTCATAACTAGCGCTCATGTCAAATCACAGTACTGGCTTTATGAAAGATTTTTTGACAAGCAAAAAACCTGACCATTTGGAGAATAAAAGTTACTCAGAAATTAGGTATTCTTTTCCGTGTTGTCTGCAAAACCTAGCAACCCATTTAAAATATATGGAGATATATATATACTCTTATATACCCAGATATAAATACCCTTACTTGACTACCACAAATAAATACTATTAAATACTAAGCAAATCCTGAATATTGATGCCTCTCAACTTCATGAAATTCATTAACCTTATTTTACATTGCTATTTTTACTACGCACAATGGTAAATACTAATTTTTTTTCAGAAAGAGCTAGGTTCATGTTATTTTCAGTTATGAGAAAGAAGGCAAACTTACTGAACTGATAGATATGTTCATAGTAATTGGACTCCGGCATGGCTGTAATAGTGACTAAGGGACAACTGTTGCCAGCCAGGGTCTCACAGAGAACATCTTGTCGAAAATATATCTGTTGAGGGTTGTGCATAGATTCCAGCTTCTGAAGATGCATCTTCATCCCAAAAGTAATGAAAAAAGGATTTCAAAATTTTTCCAGTCACATATCACAGAATATTCCATAGGTACTATTTAACCAATTTTTCTTTTTGTTGTTCTAAACAATGTTCAAGTTTCCATCATAATTTTGACCATGAAACATCATTCTCTGCATCTCTGACTGACTGAATACTTCTCTTTATTGAGTCTGTTTTTCCAACTGCTTCAAGGAAGATGAAATCGCAGAGGGTACATTATTTTCTGCTACAAGGCTATGTGGAAGGTAAGAACCTCTGCTTTATTAATGGTATCTGATCAGGGACCTTTTCAGTGCAAGAGGGGCTAACAAGTGAAGGGAGAAGCAATAAACAGGAACAGAGAGAAACAACCCTAGTAGAGGAGACATAACAGAAACAATAGCAAAGACCAAAGTCTCCAGTCTCTAACTGATGGGCCATTAAGTATCTAGAGGCAAAGCTTTGGAGAGGGCCACCTGAAAGGCAAGGAGGAAACAAGAGGAACATGAGGATTTGGGATATTCAAAGGGGGGCCTGTGGGGCTATACAAAACTTATGCGCCTGATCCCCACAGTCTGCTGTTAGCTACTTCTCTGTATAGCTTCACTCTCTGTCCCGTGAGTGCATTTGGGGTCAGCAACTGGAGTTACCAAGGGTCTCAGCATCAGGAGTTGGAGAAGCCACACCTTTCAGAAGCATCTCTGTGGGCACCACAGACTTTGTGTCTGAAGTGCCAGCTACTGTTGGGATCAAAGCAAGTGGACTTGGTGCCAGCAGCTGGAGCTGTAGGCAGCGTAAGCACCCTTCAGCCTGAGGTGTCAGCAACAGAGGCAAGAGGGGATCTCAGTGCCAGCTACCGGATCTTGGTGTCCAGCCACCGTGGCAAGAACAGCTTGTGTCCCAAAAACCAGCTAGCAGTGTGATAAGGGTGAGTGAAGCAAGGGAGGATGTCTCAGTGCCGGCACCCAGAGCAGGAATATGGGCTACAAGCCCCTGTGCCTGGTACCAGCTGCTGGGGGCCAGGGGCAAGCATATGCATGTTCCCCGAAGCCAGTGTGCATGCGGGGGCCATGTGGGCGGTGTGCGATTTGCTAGTAAACTTCAATACCCAGCAAGTATGAGGCCCCAGGTTGAGGCAGGTGTATCAGGCGGGTAGGAGTCCATGCTGGCATCTGGAGGGAACCACAAGTGCGGAGTGCCTGTGAGATGAGTGTGCAAGTGCATGCATGTGTTTGCTGGTCAGCAGCAGGGTGGACTAGCCTGCAAGCTGGAGGCCTGCAGACAGCAGGTCAGACAGAACAGGATCCAGGCGGGATATGGCACAGATGGGCCATGCCAATTATCCACAAATGCGTGTGTGCTTATAATTCTAGAGAGCTCTAGGGTGGCTGTGTACTTTTACTAGTGAACAGCAATCCTTACCAGCTGGAGAGGAAAAAAGGTACTTGGGTGTCTGTAGTTAACTTCTGAGCAAGTCCTGGTAGTATTACACACAGGCGCTGTTGAAGGCAGCACCTTGTCTGTGCCAGTCTGTGTAGCCAGCCATGCTGGGGTAGGTGAAAGGGAATATGCAAGTCTGTATATGTGTGTGTGTGTCTCTCTCTTTTTGGGATACACACTCAGACTCGCTAGTAATTTAACCTACAAGCAAACACAAAAGCAGCAGCCACATCCATCAGCCTGGAACGGAGACCCCTGGGTCCCTTGGCTGGGCTCCAGGAGGCAGGCAGGAAGAACTGCCAGGCCCCAGAGCTCGCAGCAGCTGCTTATAACACCCCTTAACAGGTACGTTGTCCAAGAGCAAGCATGGCTTAGTAAATAGCTTCATTCAACACTGTTACACACTGGCCACTGAATCCCCAAGTTTGCTTTTATTGCTGTGACAGAAACAACCAACAGACATTATAGCCAAAAGTTTTGCTTAGTACTAAAAACTTCTCAACACTGCTTTAGGCACTTCATTATCCTAAAAAGGTCTCTATCTTAAAAACAGTAACTTGAATAGGTCAGTTATGAAGAGATGTATGTAGAAGAGCAGGATATGCATCATTTGACTGAAACACAGATACTTCATCTAATTCACATTTCCAGTCAATTATGAATTATGATTCCCAGAAAACCCATTTAGTGTGCAAGTAAGTATCAATTTTATTTTTCCAGGGAAAAATGTTCTTTAGAACAACCTACACTCTTTGCCAGACTAAACACTAATATTTTATGAACATTCTCAATTTAAGGAGCATTTTGAACTGAAGAAATAAAAACAATTCACTCAGGAATGTTTACATTTCATATTGTCCAAAAGTATAAATAACAGATCATAATGTAACAGATCATAATCTTCTCACCTTTAAAGTTGAGTATGTATATGGATAATGGTAAGCGAAGTAACAGACATCATCTTTATGTTGGAAAGTCACTGTGAACGTAATTGTGTAATAAGATTTTCCTTTCTGACCTCCAGCAGCAATTGAACTTCTTGAGAAATGATTCCTAAGAGTAAAGTGAAGGTAATAAACAAATTAGAATAGCTTTTTTCCTATCACTGATTATTCCTGAACACACATTCCTGAACACACATTCTAAGAGCCTGGAAGATTTTTAGTGATTGTATTTCTCTTCCGCATACATCTAGGTTAAATTCACTTGCTCCCACCATTTGTAAAGTTACTTTATTATAGCAGTGATACACATTCATTCACATTGTGAAAAGGCAAGCAAACAAAATCAAATAACAAAAACAAACAAACAAACAAAAAGAGAGTAAACAACTGTCAACCAAGAAGGGTAATGCATGGATACGCTGTACCATCTCACCCCATGTTCCAAGATTGCTCTACAGTGATTGCACTATAGAATACAGAAGCCTAATCACAAGCACCATGTGATCAGTATTACTGGAAGTGATATACATGACCATAAAAGCTTCTCTGGAACAGTATGCAGTTTCTGACAAAAGTATAAAAGATGAACAGCTTCAATACTTGCAGTGTCCTAACAAAATAAGACCCTACATACTCTGATCACTTCTGTTAACTCTCCATAGTACTCAGGAATAAAACTCTGTTTACAACAGAGCTCCCAAAGTAGTTATCAAACTCAGAAGCAAACATTTCTCCTCAAAAATTGTACCTCATACCAGTCTTCAGTGTAACATTTACTATATGTTTGATTGCTGTACTTACTTATAGTAACAAATATCTGTCCCAACACGAGTCCAACATGGTCGAGAATTTAATGCTTCTTGAACAGAATACATGAGGGGCTGCATACCTTAAAGAAAAAATGCATCTTACTTTAACACCTGACATTAAACATCAAGATCTTAGCTGTAATGGACCACATCAACCCTTATCTGAGAGTCTCCAAACTACCTATACTCATTCACTCACTATCATAGAGTGTATTTTTATGAATGCCTGGGTATTGTA